TGTCATGCCTTGAGGAAGGGCATAAATCGGTTTTAAAACAACTTTTCCAGTTTTTGAGTAACTTGAACATGACCTGTCGCTACACATGCATTCGGGTTTTCCAAAAGAAAAGCCGTATATTTTCCGTGTACTGAGAATCACAGTCCTATACGCTATTAAGAAGATATCGTTTGGGTTCAAAAAATTTGCTAGTGAGTTTGAACTGTATTGTAAACTTTACATGCTACATTTGTATATGTTGGGACCGATGTTTTGTGGACTGGCATTTGGTGGTCTTGAAGAATCTAATAGAAATTTGTTTAAGACCAAGTTACATTATTACCTTAAGGTTAAAATCGAAAAATACTTTATTTGCTACTAAATAAGTAAAAGAATGAGTAGATTTGTGCGTTTTCTATAAAATATATTTGAATGTATAAGAGCACCGAAAATCAATCGCAAACATTCAAACTACCTTATTCATCATTTTGCACAATGTGCAGTTTTCGTAGGCGGCCAGACAGGAGTTCGTTCAAAGCCCGGCATCCTGAGATGAGTGAAACATCTTAGGATGATACTGCATGTTAATTAATATTATAACCTTCTTAAAGTTTTATTTTCGACTCGACCGGACACTTCAGAATTTCGGTTAACATTTTATATGACAGCATATCCGCTACACTTCCAAGTTTAAACACACTCCAGCACAAAGGTCTACATAGACTGTGCGTATAATCGTGATTGTTTTTTACGAAAGTCCAGGTATTAATTAATTGTGACAATTTACCTATCTCTTCTCAATATTTTATATAACCAGTAGTCGTACTGCATTATAAGAGAGGATGAGTCATTCCTGGTACTGCGAGTTCAGTCCGTTACACTGCGACATTTTCACAAGCCAATATCCAAAGTCGAGTTTCGCATCAGACGGACCTCACGCGCAGTAGGCGGCAGTTGTCATGAATGGTTAATGAATGATTACTTGGTCGCGGTTGTGATATTGATTATCGTAAGGCATACTCTTATATTATTTTGGACTCGGCAGGATGTCGGCCTTAAAATGCACTTCTTTTCAATCCCCTGTAGAAAGCGTGCTTGGTAAAAAATGACTACTTATGTAGCATGCATTTTTCCCATTGATTTTTGATGGTCTTGCAAATTCAAATATATTTTATAGAAGCTACAAACAAAAATATGCTTTCTTTTAGTCAATCAATAGAGAATCACGTCTTCTTCATATTTTATACTTAAGGACGGCGTATAATTAGGTTTTAAAAAAGTTTCTAATTACGAGACTTTTTAAGACCGCGATATGTCCATTCCCATAGCATCGTGCCCGGTCGTTTACCACTGCTCCTCACGAAATGTACAACATGGTCCGCATTCATTGCAAAATTTTATGGACCCTGTATGATATCTGTTTAATGACATAGAAAAATATGGGATTTTCTTTACGCGGAACGCATGCACCTTGTACAGTGTAATCCCTAAGCGCTAATGCAACGAATGATAAGGCTCCAAATTTTTCGGCAATTAGAAAACGTTTATAAAACCAAATTATACTACTTCCTTAAGTATAAAATATAAAGAAGACGTGATTCTCTATTAATTGACTAAAAGAAATCATATTTTTGTTTGTAGTTTCTATAAAATATATTTGAATTTGCAAGACCATCGAAAATCAACGGGAAAAATGCATGCTACATAAGACGTCATTTTTTTACCGAGCACGCTTTCTACAGGAGATTGAAAAGAAGTGCATTTAAAAGCCGACATCCTGCCGAGTCCAAAATAATATAAGAGTATGCCTTAAGTTAATCATTATTACAACCGCGACCAAATAATCCTTCCTAATCGAAAACGCATTTCAGAATTTCAGCCAACATTTCATGAGATAGGTCACGCACTGTAAAGCGCACACCGGTTGCCAGGTGGACAATGCGGCGGTACAACTCTGATAGGAGGAGATACACTTTAATCCCGAAGTGTCATTCCAAAATTTTCATCAAATAAGGCTTCCATTCAGAGTGCATAAAATGATTACGAAAGACACATAACACAACACGATCAAAAGCGAAAACTGTCGAAAACTGCAACCGTTGACGTCATGATGAATCGTCGGTGACTGAGTTGAGAAATTCGCGTCGGATTTGGGGGGTTTCAAAGCGGTATTAGCGTAGACGACCTCATTATTGTAATGCAGACAAGCAAAGAGGGTGGGAAATCGGTGTATAATGAGTAACATAGGCCAATGGGAGTACATATAAGAGAATTCCCATGTGATTGTGGGGAGGGCGGCAGAAAAGAGCTGTGGCTCAAATTAAAAAGCCCATATATTATCTCGTTAGGCATTGTGCTGTGTCTTCATCTAGGTAATTAACACCACCGTTGTAGAAATAACAAAGAACACATCGTAAGGGCGATGAAATATTACCTCTGATGGGAATAGTTAACAGCCCGTCAGACTCATTTATTCCAATGTTCACAGGACATAACTTTGACCGGGGGGTTGCTTCTGTGTCTTCGCTCAGTGAAAGTCTTGCGTGTCCCATAAAATGCTCTTTGGCGTAGCAAACCTTTTGCATGACTGATGAAATTGGGTTACATTTCTAACATTTATAATAACGCCTTCTTTAATTTGAACAGTGGCAGTGTGCCACATGGCAGACAGCAAGCAATCTCAAACGCCACTTCTTCGACGTCTTATGCCACCACATCGGCGGCTTGGACATCACTTTCCGCAAGGTATGTCGACCTTCTTTACGACTCCTGCGTTCTCTACTGGTGATTGATTTTGGGTTGGTATTGTACTTCAGACAGCGTTCCACAATGCCAGCTGCAATGCCTCGAATGTGGTCATATAGGGTACCAGCAAGCAGTAACTGCGGAATGTGAAGTAAAAAGATGACTAATTCTAGGCAGAATGAAGAAGGAAACACTCGTAGCTATTAATTCCGCCTAGAGGAGGTTTCAGCACCGAGTATGGAAGGGGAAGATCGTTGCACTTCTTAATGGACTGGGGGCCAGTGAACCATGACCCAAACAGATCGCGGCTCACGCGGTGGTCCCTTCTAGCGGGAATTTCGGCCTTGTCGAATTTGAATGTGTGACCGGATCTCGTCGAATGATCCACAAGTTGAGAACTGGCATCGATTCACCGCATGGCTGCTGCGTGTTCGGCCATTCGCGTTACGAGCTCTCTTCCGGCTTCTCCGACGTTGTTGCTTTGTCCGCAACTGCATCAGGTCCGACAAACGACTCCTGACGTTTCTAACCGTGACATCGGGTCTTTCGGTCTCATTACCTGACGCCTGATAGTTGTCTTCGGTCTGTGTGCAACTTTAACCCCATGTGGTGCGAGATGGTGACCGACAGCTACCAAACCGTTCTTGACATATGGAAGCGCTAGCCAAAATTTGGTGTCCGTGTGGTTAGGCCTTTCGTCGCTTTTGCGTATGTACCGGTTGACGAGGTTGTGCGGACAGCCATTGGCTTTGAAGACCCGTCGGAGGTATTGTAATTTGACAATCTTATCTTCCGGTTCACTGCAGTGCGTTCTGACACGCCGATAGAGCGGCCTTACAGAACTGCGTTTGTGGCTGATTTGGTGGTTGCTGTTGAAGTTCAGTTCTTGCATCGTATTTTTTGCTTTCCTGAACACATTCGTCTTTTGTCCACCATAATATTTGCGGCTAATAGGACATCCAGGAGGGCCAGCTTGTTGTTCTCTTCTTCCTACATCGTAAATTTTATGTCTGGTGAGACCGCATTCAGATGTTCCTTGAATGTCAGCAGTTGATGCCGGTCGATAAANTGACATAGAAAAATATGGGATTTTCTTTACGCGGAACGCATTCACCTTGTACAGTGTAATCACTAAACGCTAATGCAACGAATGATAAGGCTCCAAATTTTTCGGCAATTAGAAAACGTTTATAAAACCTAATTATACTCCGTCCTTAAGTATAAAATATAAAGAGGACGTGATTTTCTATTGATTGACTAAAGGAAAGCGTATTTTTATTTGTGGTTTTTATAAAATATATTTAAATTTGAAAGACCATCGAAAATCAATGGGAAAAATGCATGCTACTTAAGTATTCATTTTTTACCGAGCACGCTTTCTACAGGAGATTGAACAGAAGTGCATTTTAAAGCCGACATCCTTCCGAGTCCAAAATGTTATAAGAGTATGCCTTAAGTTAATCAGTATTACAGCCGCGTTCAGGAAATCCTTCCTAATCAAAAACGCATTTCAGAATTTCAGCCAACATTTCATGTAAAGCGCGCACCGGTTGCCAGGTGGACAGTGCGGCGGTACAACTCTGATAGAGAGAGATACACTTTATTCCCGAAGTGTCATTCCAAAATTTTCATCAAATAAGGCTTCCATTCAGAGTGCATAAAATGATTACGAAAGACACATGACACAACAAGAGCAAAAGCGACAACTGTCGAAAACTGCAACCGTTGACGTCATGATGAATCGTCGGTGACTGAGTTGAGAAATTCGCGTCGGATTTGGGGTTCTTCAAAGCGGTGTTAACGTTGTGTGCATATGACCTCATTATTGTAGTGCAGACAAGCAAAGAGGGTGAGAAATCAGTGTATAATGAGTAACATAGGCCAATGGGAGTACATATAAGAGAATTCCCATGCGATTGGGGGGAGGGCGGCAGAAAAGAGTTGGTGGCTAAAATTAAAAAACCCATATATTATCCCGTTATGCATTG